AAAGAGTAAATGAAAAGGAAGAAGAGAATGAGAAGGATTAAGGAGTACATAGATAAATTCAATAGTGATCCTCCTCTTATCTGAATCTGATTCATCTATCTAACCTTCTGCAACATCAAATCCTACCTTTAGCCAACTACGTGCCAAGCCATTTTCCTTCTCCTATACAGAATCCTATCCCTAGTCAAGTCATACCACCAAAGCCTCTTTTGTTCTGCTTATGAATCACTGTCACTATGGAAAGTGAGAAGATGGGCAAGCTTATAGTAGTTTGAGTGCAGTGGAGATTGAGTGATGAGTACACCCTTAGACACTAGAGTGCAAGAGAGTTTATTCTCACAATTTTTGAGAAGTTCCGAGTGAGGGGGTGTTTTGTGTTGAAGGTCTCTGCATTTCATCTTACTGATCTGTTGAAAGTCATGTGATGAGGTTAAGCAAGTCATAGTAAAAGATAGATTGATGGGTTGTTAGATTGTATCTTGGAAAGTTGATCTGTCATATTTCAATCTAACCTCATAAATTTCATGTGTAAAGAATCTCAAGTCTTTCTCTGTCTTTAAAGTTATTGCTGAGGACATCAATATTCAAATATGGGAATTGTGATGAACCCTTAGTTCATCATGGTTTTTAGCAGGAATTTGGATCAAATTGTGTGATTAAATGATGAAAAACAAGGTTAATGTCCTAAGATGTCCTCAATTACAAGTTCAAGAGCTTTATTGGAAATTTGTATGATTCTTGTAGGAAAAGCAAGCTTGAAAGGCAACTGGAGAAGGAAGAAGATTCTGGAGCTCAAGAGGAGAAAAATTGCCCAAGTGTTGAGCGCTAAAACGTCCACACTGAGCGTTTTAGCGCCCTGCTACAGGAAGAGGCCAAAACTTGCTGGTGATGAGCACTAAAACGCCTACACAGAGCGTTTTAGCGCACTGCTGCACTTAGAAGATGGAAAATTGCTGGTCTTGGGCGCTAAAACGGCCTGCAATAAGCGTTTTAGCGCCCTGAAGTGGAAAAAGGACTCTGGTCTCCACCGCTAACACGTCCAAATCAAGAGTTTTAGCGTTGGAGTCAGTTAAAGTCAGTTGAGCATCCACCAAGTTTGGACACTAAAACGGTCATTCCTTAACGTTTTAGCGTTTTTGTCAGCTAAAAGCAGTTGAGCATACATAAAGCATGGACGCTAAAACGGTCACTTATGGACGTTTTAGCGCCCACATCAGTTTTCTGTTTTAAATTGTAACACTATAAAAGGCAAAGCCTTCACACTTAGTAAAGAATCTGGAATTTTCTCTCTCTCTCTTAAACTTTAGTCTGACTTCTCTCTAAATTCTCTTAGTGTTTTAGTTTTTGTATTAGGATTTCTTTGTAATAGTTTGGAGATTGAAGACCTTCAACATGGAAATGAAGTTTGATTCTTCTTTTCTTGTCTATTCCTTAGTCATGTCTGAGTAGAGTCTTTGTAGTCTGAATGCAATAGAACTCCATGATAATATTATGTTGATCTGATTAATATGATGAAGTATTTTTCATGTGTTGATTTGAGATTTTCTGATTTAATTATTTCTATCAAGGAAGTAGTGTAGAACAGGGATGTTTATATGACTTCTGTATCTGATAATCTCAACATCAGAATTCTAGTACTCAAGGGATTGATGCTAGAGTTCTGATGTAATCTTAAGACTTTAGTATTTCATGCGTGTATTAAGAAAGATATCACCAAGGGATTGGGGTTTCTGATTAATGTATCTATCAGGGTAGTAAGGGATTACATCTTGATGATAAGTAAAAGGTTGATTAATATCACATGGAAAAGAATTCATCATATGATCAGTTTTTACATGGGGTATTATGGAGGAAAGTTGTTTTCTGACTACTTGTTGTTTTATTAATTCTTAATCCATATTTATTTTGTGTCAAATTACTTACAATCAATTTTCTGGTGACAAATTATTCATGACTTTTACAAATTCTTATCTGATTCAAATTAGTTTTCTATGGTTTATTGGTGCTTGAACACAATTCCTCGTGGGAACGATCTTTACTCATCATTTTATTACTTGTACGACTAGTGCACTTGCTAAACGTCCAACAAGTTGATTTCATCATCTTGGATTACGAAGCTGATATTGACGTTCCCATCATTCTGGGTAGACCGTTCCTAGCAACTGACAGAGCAGTTATCAATGTACAAAAAAGGGAACTAACCATGAGAGTTCATGATGACGAAATCAAATTTAATATAGTCAAAGCAATGAAGTTCCAGGATGAAGACGAAGATTTGGAAGAGTGTTCTGCAATCACTTTGTTAGACAACCAGTTCAGCAGAAAAACAGAGGGGGAAGAATCTGATGAAGAAGAAGAAGGTCCACAAAATGAGAGGCAGAATTGCTATCTGCAAGAAAGGAGACCTGAACCTTTGCTAAGAACTGAAAAAGAAAAACAACTCAAACGACCCTCTTCAGAACAACTTCCTGATCTAGAACTGAAGCCTCTTCCACAACACTTGAAGTATGCATACCTGGGAAACAATAACACCCTTCCTGTGATCATCTCCTCATTCCTCACCAAGGAACAAGAAGAACTGCTGCTCAACAAGCTGAAGAAGTACCAAGGAGCTATCGGTTGGACCATAGCGAAACTCAAAAGTATCAATCCCTCATTCTGTAGGCATAAAATATTATTGACTGACCCTAGCAGTTTTTCAGTAGAACACCAAAGTAGATTGAACCCTATAATGAAGGAAGTGGTAAGAAAGAAAGTCATCAAATGGCTAGATGCAGGGATCATATATCCAATATCTGACAGCAGTTGGGTAAGTCCTGCCCAATGCGCTCCCAAAAAAGGAGGCATAACAGTGGAATTAAATGAGAAAAATGAGCTAATCCCTGTAAGAAAAGTTACAGGATGGAGAATTTGCCAAGATTATAGAAAGCTCAATAATGCCACTAGAAAGAACCACTTTCCACTCCCTTTACAGATCAAATGTTGGATCATCTAGCAGGTAAGGAATATTTTTACTTCCTTGATGGATATTCTGGGTATAATCAGATTGCTCTAGCACCAGAAGATCAACATAAAACCACCTTCACTTGCCCATACAGAACGTTTGCTTTCAGAAGGATGTCTTTTGGGTTATACAATGCACTAGCAACGTTCCAAATGTGTATGTTCTCTATTTTTTTCTGATATGATAGGTGAAGGAGTAGAAGTTTTCATGGATGACTTTTCGATGCTGAGAACGTCATATGACCACTGCTTGGATAACTTAGAAAAAGTCCTCCAAAGATGTCTGTCCTCTAATCTGGTGCTTAACTGGAAAAAATGCCACTTCATGGTGAAAGAAGGAATCGTCTTGGGACATAAAATTTCCAGAAAAGGACTAGAAGTAGATCAAGCCAAAGTAGAAGCGATAGCAAAAATGCCACCACCAGTAAATGTCAAAACGTTGAGATATTTTCTTGGGCATGCAGGTTTCTACAGAAGGTTCATTAAAGATTTTTCCAAAATAGCTAGACCTTTGTGCCATTTGTTAGAAAATGATATGAAATTTGAGTTTAACTCTGATTGTCTGAAAGCTTTTGAATCCCTGAAAAACAAGCTTATCACTACGCCTGTCATCCAACCTCCAGAATGAAACTTACCCTTTGAATTAATGTGTGATACAAGTGATCACGCTATTGGGCTAGTTCTGGGTCAGAGGAAAGAAAAACTCTTTTGTAGCATATACTATGCTAGTAAAACTTTGAATGAAGCTTTGGTGAACTATACAGTCACTGAAAAGGAGATACTGGTTGTAGTATATGTCTGCGAAAAATTCAGGCCTTACATTTTAGGATCCAAAATTACTAATCATACTGACCATGCAGCTCTCAAGTATCTTTTTTCCAAAAAAAAAAAAGCAAAGCCAAGATTGATAAGGTGGGTCCTCCTGCTGCAAGAATTCAATCTGGAGATCAAAGAAAGAAAAGGATGTGAAAACCAAATTGCAGATCACCTGTCCAGATTAAAACATAGTGAAGTGGGGCTGCCAATCAAAGAAACGTTCCCTGATGAACAGTTATTTGTCATCAATCACACAGAAACAGACATTCCTTGGTTTGCTGATATAGCCAACTTTCTTGCAGCAGGACTAGAACAATACGAGGCAAACAGAATGCAAAAGAAAAAATTCTTTCATGATTGCAGGAACTATCTCTGGGATGAACCATTACTGTTCAAAATATGCGCAGATCAAATGATAAGGAGATGTGTTGCAGAAGAAGAACAACCTCAAATCCTTCTGCACTGCCATTTGTCCCCATATGGAGGCCATTTGGTTGGAATAAGGACTGCCTCCAAGGTTCTTCAATCAGGTTTTTTCTGGCCCTCCCTTTTTAAAGAAGCACTTTAATATGGTAAACAATGTGATAAATGTCAAAGGGAAGGTAACTTAACCAGACAAAATGAAATTCCCCTCAATCCCATTTTAGAAGTTAAATTATTTGATGTTTGGGGCATTGATTTTATGGGGCCTTTTCCTCCTCCTTGTGGGAACAAGTTCATATTGATGGCTGTGGATTATGTAAGAAAGTGGGTGGAAGCAGTTGCTTTACCCACTAATGATGCTAAGGTGGTTATAAAATTTCTAAAGAAAAACATTTTGACCAGATATGGGACCCCTCGCTGTCTCATCAGCGATGGTGGAAAACATTTCATTAACCGCCAACTTGAGAGATTGTTGGAAAAATATGGAGTTAGACATAAGGTTGCAATCCCATATCATCCACAAACCAGTGGTCTCATTGAAGTCTCTAACCGAGAGGTTAAGAGAATTTTAGAGAAGGTAGTCAACCCTTCTCGAAAAGACTGGTCTCTCTCTCAAGTTAGATGAAGCATTATGGTCTTACAGAACTGCATACAGAACACCCTTAGGATGTTCTCCATACAGATTAATATTTGGCAAAGCATGCCACCTTCCCCTCGAACTGGAACACAAAGCTTACTCGGCAGTTTATGCCCTCAATATGGATGAAAAGGCAGCAGGAGAAAAGAGACTGCTACAACTTGAAGAGTTAGAGAAATTTAGAGGGAACACATATAAGAATCATAAATTGTACAAAGAAAAGATGAAGAAGTGGCACGATAAAAGGATCAGGAATAGAGATCTAAAAATTGGCCAGAAAGTGTTGCTCTTCAATTCCAGACTCAGACTATTTCCAGGAAAACTCAAATCAAGATGGACTGGGCCATACCAAATTGTGAATGATGCAGGAAATGGAAACTTTGAAATTCAAGGATCAGAACATGGTCGTTCCTTCAAGGTTAATGGACACAGATTAAAGTTATACGCTGATGAAACCTTCAATGAAAAAGAGGAAAGTATCCCCCTCTCTGAATCCACCTGAAAGGTAAGCACCATGTCTAGCTAAAGACATTAAACTAAGCGCTGACTGGGAGGCAACCCAACGGATACATTTTCTCTCTGACAAAGAGCAAAGTTTTGGGGTGGTTACTTTTAACCACAAAGCTCCCAAAAGGAGGGAACGTCCGATGTTCCACTCCAAAGTCCAAACAAGGCACGTTCCGTTCCAAGAACGTAGTTTTGGGGTTGTTTACTAACCACACAATCCCAATGAAAAGAAGACGTTCCCAATGAAAAGGAGAAAACCCTCCTAGTTGTTTTAGATTCTAGTTTATTTTCAGTATTGTTTATTTTATTTCCCTTTTCGTTCCCTTGTAAATGTATTCTTTTTGCAATGAAAAAGTTTTTTTTTTTGAATGGCCAACAATATGAAACACAAAGTCACTGACTAATCATTCTTATTCTTTCTCTGAGTGCTTGAAATAGGAAAAGTGCAGAGAATTTAATCTTCAAATTTTTTAGGGATGCTGATATGTGTGAACTAATGCTTGTAAGGAACGAAAAAAGGCCAAACACATACTTATAGAGCGTTCCTGAGGTGAAACCACAATGAAACTTATAAACTTGCCTTGATGCTGTAAGTACTGCTCAAGAACAGATGGATTCCACCACCAAGGATCAACCAACCATACACTCACTCCCTCTCACAAAACAGAACCACAGACTCACTTTCATTCCATCTATAAACACCAACGCATCACTAGGTCAACCAAAAAGGGCAAGGAACAGATCCAAAAATGATCAAAAAGGACAGAAGAAGAAAAAAAAGAAAAAGGGAACAACCATTCAAAAGAATTCAGAAGAAAATACCAGAAAACCTTCCTTCTCGGGAAGAAAAGGTACAAAAAGAAAAGGTGTTCCCTCAAACAGAAAAGTCCAGTTCAAAAGCACAAAAGTAAACGTTCCTTGACCCCATACTTAAGACCACCATTCTTTCACACTTCCATAAACCCACCTATCAAAAGATCCTTGGAATAAAAGACATCTACACTTCATAGGAAAACAACAGAAAAGCAAGTTCTAAAGAATCACAACCAGGAATAGACAGAGAAAACACCAAGCCCTAAGTGATAGTGAGACAGAAGATCAGCAACCTTCACTTACTTTGGAACAAATTCTTCTTACTTGTTACCTATGGAAAGTAGCTCATTTTTTGAAAAGATTATGATTGCTCACTGGCTCAAGTTTCTTTCTGTTGAGCTATTCTTTGAAATTGAGCAGTCTGAACCACTATTTCTGAATTGTTTAAGGACAACCAACAGTTTAGGTTTGGAGTGTTGATGGGACGTAAATTCGTTCTCATCTAAGCCTATTTTGATGGAAAAATACCATCCGTTCCTTCATCTGATGAGTAACTTCAGCATGAAAATCACTTATTTTGCATATTTGTGACAAAAACACAGTGGGGGAACGGATGATGACGTATTCCTTTGAAAACATATTAAAAGGGGAACGGATTGAGAGTATTTATTACACCTGCTCCCTTCATTTAATGCTTATGTTCATTTTGCAGGAAACGTGGAAACAACTTCTTCTAAAAAGCAAAGGCGGTGCACCACTTAAGCACCAAGAAACGTGAACAGCAGAGAATCAAGAATTCTCATTGGCTAAGAAGAAAGCAAGGCACGGGGGATTGCAAGAAAACGGCTAATCATCAACAAAAACTGTCCCATCAAGCAATTTGCAAGCTTCCAAACACTGTTGCCACCGCCCCGTTCCTTCAATCAAGAAACTAACTCCAAAGAATTTACAAGACTGCTACTCCCTCTTATGCCTATAAATAGGACATTCCAAACACAAAAACATCATTGAATTCTGGAAGGATTGAAGTCTTAAAAGAAGAGATCACCTAGTATTAGTTAGTAGTTTAATTTTGTATAGTTGTAACTGTAGTTAAGTGAAAACACTTCTCCCTTACTCTATATCATCCATTAAAACTCCCCATGAGCACCAACCCTCTTCTCCATTTTATATTTTGTTGTAATCTTTCTTGTTTAATTTCAATATAAGTGTTTCTTCTTTTCTTAACAATCATTATCTCTGAACTGAATCTCGGGTCTATGGGATTTCAGTTTAGAATAATTATGTTTAAAATATCAGCCATGGGCTGAATTATTTGTGGGACGGATAAGCTGCAAAACTCTTAAAGAATTATTTCCAAAACTCTTGACTGGAGTTTTTTTCTATTTTTTTTGGCTAAGTAAGCTATATTCATTGTGTACCACTGGAAATTGAACACATACTGAGAAAGGAACTTCCTTAAGGAAGAGATTTCAAACAGCTTAGCCATTGGGGGAAGGTAGTGTTATGGCAAAAACACTATTTGTCACCTTAGGAATAAGGGGCCACTTCGTCCATTTTAAGGTTCTGTACTAAGTACCTGTTGGAGTCAAGGGAGCCATAGGAATATGGAAACTTGTGAGCCATCTAGTCCATGAGCTGGGGAATCAGAGTTGGCAGATAAGAAATTGGGACAAAGCCAAAAAGTGCTAAGTCTTGAGCAGAGGAAATAACTATTTAAGAATGGACCAGTGAATTCGTTCCTTATGTTAAACTGGTTTTAAAACATCCACCTTGCTGTCTCTTGATTATAGTTATTACTGTTTTATTTTTACTTTGTTTAATCTTGTATCTATCAAAAACCAATGATTATTATCACACCTTCTTTTAAACAGGAAGGATCACTTATATAACGCGGCGAGCAATTGTTTGCCATCAGACTGAACTTACTGTTCCTGAGGAACGTTGTCAAGACAGTAGGGAACGTTTGACCAGACAGTTCAATCACTAACTTTTCTTTTCATTTTCATTCTTTATAAAATAGTTTAAGACAATATTTAGAGTTTTATCCTCGTGGGAACGATAATCTGGGCCTTAATACACCCATTATTACTTGATGCGTGCACTTGCGCACTTGGGTTGGAAGTAAGGGAACAACACTGTTTTCTGTTTCTAATTTAGAATAGAGGAACGTCCCCCATCAGAATATATATTCTTCCACCATCAGCAAACCGCCCAACAGGGATGATGACCACAGGGGCAACTGGAGGACCAGATACTTTCATTGGAGATTTTATTCGCGCGGTGGCACCTGCGCTTGATTTAGCACCAGCAGCAGCAGCAGAATTAGTCGGCATGGAAGGACTCGCACCAGCAATATTGCGCCTAGCCTCCATCTTCTCCAACCTACTTAAAGAAGCCTTCATTGAACTATCTGCAACAGATCCACAAAAGTGGCGTTCGCGTTAGATATATGAAATTCACAAAACAGAGTACACAATATTTGTTTGGATTAAAACTAACAAAACAAGTAAAGGTCGAAGTTACCCAAATACGCTCGAATATCATCATCAGAATATTCGTTCAAGATTGTATACGTGCTAAGCGAGCCCGTATCAGAAGCTTCACGTGCAATATTACTTAGCATGGTCACAGTTTGCTGCTCTAGATCACTTAAATCGTCAAAATTGTTATCATAATTATTAGGGTCAATTTTGGAATTATTTCCTAATTTCTCATAATCAATTAATTAACTTCCTTAATTAACGGTGCAGGTTCTTATATTAAACCAGACATCTGTCACGCAGTGGGAGTAGTGACATTTTGAACCTAGAGGAATACTAGATTATTGTTAAGCATGTACTCAAGTATCTTTGGGGAACGAGAGATTACATGCTGGTATATTCTAGTGGGAGTCTTGAAAAGCTGAGTTTTCACAAATTCAGTTATTTCAAGTGGATATTGACTCAAGAAAATCAACCTCGTGCTATGAGTTTTACTAAATTAGGATAGGAATAGAGGTGGATCTTGTAGACCCAGTTAATAAGAGTTTGCCTGAACTTGTGTTCAAGAGGCATGTTACTTCTTTGGGTCTTAAGAGGATCCCAGACTTGCATTAAGCAAGTGGGAGATATTGAGTTCATTGTGCTCTTGGAGTAAGACAATGAAATAATGTAATCATTTTCTGAATTTTACAAATAAGGTATTATTTATTTTGCGCACTATGTACAAACATAAAGGTCCGGATCAAATTGTGGAGTATATGATCATATGGATACGTTCATGTAAGACATGATCATAGGTTCTCACAATTGATGAATGGATTCACAGCTGTTAAATAAAGTGGGGCACTTTTTAGGCTGCAATATTTATGAAATGGTTTTGTCCGAATCATTGTAAAATATTGGTGTAAATTAACATTCACATTGAAAGGATCAAGGAGAGATTTGATTAAGGTTATTTTTCTGTCATAAGGTATCAAATATCCAGTTAACTATAGTTATGTAATTGCTCTTAATCCTGAGTTTATTATAAATAGGTAATCAAATAGTTTTCATTCTTTGATTTACCAACGGGTGAGGTTCGATATTTTGACGGCCAATAACTCGGTATTTTGGGAGTGAGATTATTTGATTATCGGTATTTATGAGATAAACAACATGGAATTTGTAGGATATGTCCCCTTGATATGTTTCGGTACTTGGATATTAAAGACACTGGCCAGTGCATATAATCCATTAGAGAAATTATCATAGTTAAGGGAATAAATAATTGATTGAGTTACAGAAAACTTGTCAATCAATTATAGACATTCTACAGAGGGGCGATGCATATTCATGTTATAAGTGTTGTTAATCTTGGAGTTCAAGTTTGGGCTTTTAGTGGAGTAGCACCGATTTAGATAATCATTCGTTGATTATCAGGAGCCTTGATTAAAAATAGATGGTAGATCCCCATGCTAGCTTGAGACAAGGGATGTGTTGTATAATCAGATGATGATGGCTTATGAGCTACATAGTCTTGGGTTTATGAACTCAAGTTTGTGTCCAAAAGAGAAAGTGAGAGATTGTTGGGTTTAGTATGCTCTTTTCACTTAAGCCCAATAGCTTTAGTGAGAGTGAACCCAAAGTCCAATTTTAACCCATGAAGCTTAGGGTTAGTTTTGGATTGGGCAGGGTATATAAACACTTCTTTCTCCCTTGTGCCTCTTAGGGTTACAGTCATCAGAAACACACCAAAGAGGCAGACGTTCATCATCTGAACGGTTGCCCACACGACCCCCTGATCCCCTTGAGTCATAGCTTGGAAGATCAACCGTAGAGCGGAATTGCGACCGTTCGTGGTGCGTTGCTGCAAGATCGTGAGGCTTGACAAGGAGAACTGAAGGTGAGAAATCGTCACGCTCGCTTCTTCACCCCAGGTAATCAAAGCGGTGTCTTTAATCTTCATCGCATCGGTACGATGCGCTTCCGCGTTTCTGATGATATACCTTCACTTATATTATTTGATTCACCTTGAATGGTTATTATTCCCTTTTTCTTTCTTTTCTTTCATTACCATTGATCCATCTTTGTACGATTATGATTTATTAGTCGGAAATAAAATTATCTCCGGCAGCTTGAGAAACGATAAACCCATATATATATATATATGTATGTATATATATATATATACATATATATATATATTTCTAAATAAATTATTTGATTTTTTAATAATTAGGTCATATAATATAATCGTAATTAATTAAATTAATTTGCAATCGATAATTATGAGTTAAATAATTATTTTACTAGTTAGTTTTAGTTATTTGTAGGAATAGTGCTTGAAATTTTAAATAAGTGCACATTTGAATTTATTTAATTTTTAAGAACTTTTTTAAAAAGAATTATCTTAATGATAATGATTATAAATTATTTTAAATATGAAATAAATAAATTCAAACCTATATTTCATGATAATTAAAATATGTGAGAAGATTTATTTCATAAGGAAGATATAAAATGTGGCTTTACGGAGTATTGCTCTTTGACGAAAATATCCATCCACCTTCACCCAAATAAATTGCGGATTCGTTTTTTTTGTAATTACTGCATGTATCTTCAGTAAGTTCAATGCGACGTAGTTTTGGAACAGAAATTATGATATTTTTATAATTTTAATTTATTTCAGAATTATTAGAATTTTTATAATTATAACTTTTTAATTTTTTAATCTCAAGATGACATCATTTTAGGAGCAAATACAGATAACTAGTGCAAAAATATTTTTCTCATAAATTACTGAAAATAATTTTAATATGATGTTATAATATTAAATGTAAAATTGGCCTATACGGTATGAAACGTTTATTATACTTGCTTTAGAGAAGCAAGTAGGTTTCTTTGAAGAAACGTTTAGCGAATCGTCGTCACCGTGTTCAAGTTCGAGGCTTAATTCAGATTCCAAATATGGTGAGCTTCTGATTTTCATTTCTTTTGAATCCAAAGTTGTTTTTTTTCCATTTCATTCAATTCAGTTCTGTTCTGTTATAGATCTTACTTGCCAGGTATGTACTTTTTTTTTGGGGGGGGGGGGGGGGGGGGGGGGGGGGGGGATTTGATGTTCTTGGACTCTCTAGTCAATTTTTGTCTCTAGTCAATTTGGTCGATTTTTATAGGGAGAGAAGTTGCATTTCTATACAAGTTGAAATAGCTTAAGTTAATTGTGTTTATGCCAAGCATCCATCCTTGATTCTTAGTTTGTAGATTTGGCTAGAAACCCCCGATTTGCAAGGATAGAGGTGAAGGAGATCCTTGTATGCAGTGTTATCCTTGTATTTTTTGCAAATGTGTAGTTGCTGTATGACAAAAATTAAGCAACTCTATGATGATAGGGATAGGATCTTTTACCCCACTGTAATTAGGATGCTCTAATACCTGCATTTTTGCAAATGTGAACTTGATGTATAGAAAAAAAATAAGAAACTTTATGATGGTAAGAATAGGATCTTTTTCCCCATTTTAATTTGGATGCTCTAACATTTGAATACAGATTCTGGGGGTGCTAGTTATAACATGCATATTCTTTATGTATTTCCATTGTGAACATCTTTATTCATCTGCATAGATCCAATTTGTGCTGCTCATTAGTCGCCAAGGGAAGGTGAGACTGACAAAATGGTACTCGCCTTATTCTCAGAAAGAAAGAAATAAGGTAACTCCTGAGTTTTTTTTTTTTAAATCCTTTTTCTCATTTGATAAATGTATGTTTGATATATAACATAGTGGATGATGATTTCCTAAGATCCTCAGTACCCTCTGTATATGTGAAATTGTTGAATGTTGAACACAGGGTATATTTTTTCCTGTGCTTTTTGTTTACGTTTTTCATATTGTATTGGAAATAATGGTAATATCATGATCATTTCTTGTCGAACATATTACATTTTTCACATTAGCTATCCTTACTGCATAAATTTACATGTAATTTATTTCTGAAAGGTAATCCGTGAGCTCAGTGGAGTAATTCTTTCCCGTGCTCCCAAGCTATGTAATTTTGTTGAATGGAGAGGATATAAAGTTGTTTATAAAAGGTATTGTAACAAAGAGACCATAGCTTTTGGTCATATATCACAACCCCTTTTCAAGGGTACCTTCTGTCTGTATTGATGATTATTTGAGTCCGTTCTATAATGCGTATCTGGTACAGGTATGCTAGTCTCTTTTTCTGCATGTGTATTGATGAAGATGACAATGAGTTAGAGGTCCTCGAAATAATTCATCATTTCGTGGAGATTCTTGATCGGTATTTTGGCAGTGTGAGTTCTCATAAGCTTTGACTTTTGAAGGCACTACTTGATTTAACTATAGAAATATTCCCATTCTATTAATAAAGATCTAAGGGATTTCTCGTGTCCGTTTAATTTGATAATGGTTGTTTCATGTTTTGCAGGTATGTGAACTGGACTTAATATTCAACTTTCACAAGGTTTGTTCACTTATCATGGCTGTTTTCCTTTAGTCTATTACTATTATATATGATTCTTCTTAGTTCCTGATATAGATCCACCCTGAATTACCCTTAATAATCGGTTATATTCAGTGCCAATTCGTATTTGTGATTAAGGTCCCTTCTGATCTGTTTTTTGTTTTTGTATTGCGGAAGGCCTACTATATACTGGATGAAGTTCTAATTGCTGGTGAGCTTCAAGAGTCCAGCAAGAAAACAGTTGCTCGGTTGGTAGCTGCACAGGTATGGAACACACTTTCTCTTTCTTAAACAGTTTGCTGGGCAGTTTCTTTCTCAATGTTTTATTGAATTTATTTTACATTTTACATTAAAATTTTGCTTTCAGGATTCATTGGTGGAGACTGCAAAGGAGGAAGCCAGTACAATAAGTAATATAATTGCACAAGCCACTAAGTGAAGAGAACAAATGCTACAATTTCCTGCTAATATTGTTTGTCTTATGTCCCAATTCTTATGGTTATTAAGTTGAATTTTTTATCTTCTTTATATAAATTGCCTTGCTTTGCCTTCATATATCATGCTTGTATATCCCTGAACTGTCTATTACTTGTGGTGATCCATTTGCCTGAGGATTATTTTTACTTTGTATGCTGCTCTGAGATTGAAATTCAATAGTGTGCTTTTGTTATTATTATTATTTGTAATACATTGTTTACTATATGGAGTTTGTAAGAATAATAGATGATATAATAATGTTATCATGTGATAGGGGTTCAAATTTTACTTATAATGTTGTGTGTAAAACGGTAAATTATCATATTCACCACTTCTGTTTCTTGTAATGGTTGCACAAATTTTATTTATTATTCTGATGATTTTCTATTGGTATGGTGGTGCTTATTTATATTATAAATGATAAAATGATAGGGTTGGTCGTGCGCAAAAAATCAAGTGATATAAAATGAAGAGAAGTGATTACTCAGATAGCGTTGGTCGTAAGCAAAAAATGATAGGATCGTGGTCGCTTTTCTTATGTTTCATCTTTTTTATTGGAAGAGATGGCAAAATGCCCCAATCTGACCCGTTTTTAACTTGCTAAAAAACGGGTGGAGGGTTGATCCTCCATTGGATGATGGGTGGAAATATCAACCCATGGGTTTGCGGGTTGGCCCGTTAACTCAACTAAAATTTATTGGGTTGGCGAGTTGACATATTGACCTGCCAAAATATTCATTAAAAAAAATTCATTGAAAATAAAATATTCCCAGATACATAAAATTAACCTGGGCTCGTTTGGTACGTGAATTTTTTTTTAAAAGTATGAGAAAGTTCACTTGGGTAAATTGCTTTTCCACGTTTGGTAGCCAAAAAGTAAACATTATTCGGGTATATTTGTTTCCAAGATTTTGTTTAGCTTTGCAAATTTGAGATCGGATACCACCGCAACAATACCAAAGATTAGTTGGAATTTTTTGTTTCTTGGGGAAGTAACAAAGAAACCGCGAAATGAAGGACCAAATTAACCCTGATATTTGTGAAGTTTCACCATAGCTTTGTTTGAGAAATACCCAAGTTTTGTGAAAACGATCTAGGTTACTCCCTCCCTGTAGGTGGTCGAATGTGAGGGAGCAACATTAACTCTTGCTTTGTAAAAAAAATTGGTATACGAAGAACACAACCAAGAACAATAGCGGGAGGTCGAATGTGAGGGAGCAACATTAACTCTTGCTTTGTAAAAAAAATTGGTATACGAAGAACACAACCAAGAACAATAGCGGGAACAAAGAAATAGGGTTTCAGGGAAAACAAAGAACATAGCAAAGAATGAAGCTGAGTATCTGGTATAGAGAAAGAATTGATGGGAAAAATTGATGGGAAGAATTGATGGGAAATGAAGGCTACTGGAAAAAAAAATGAAGCTCAATAGCGGACATAGAGAGAGAGAGACAACAAAGGGGAAATGAGAGTTGAGAGAGAATGAATTGGTAAAGGTGGGGTTATTTTGGTAAAATAACCTCACATTCCCACTAATATTTCATAACTAACCAAACACAAACTCAGTAAAATGAATTTAATTTTTTCGGGAAAATATGGGTCTACCAAACAGCTTTTTAGTAACATTCAAGTAAAATATATTTCTCACTATATTCCAGTAATAATTATTTTTCGGATTAAAAAAAATTTCTCCTGTACCAAATACCTCCTAAAAGTCTATGAGGAATTCCCAGAATCCACAAGACCACCAATCATAATCATCCAGGAAACTATGTTTCTCTTCAACATTTCACCAAACAGCTTCCGTGCATCAATAATCAGATCACACTTCACGTGCATAGGCAAAACTCTGATCATCCTATACAAATTAGGCTCAAATCGACTACTAAACCAACAGATGCATTCACCAAAGCATCATATGTGCTACTATCCACATCAGAACCATCATATTCAAGTTACAAAATTTCAACAGTAACACATCAAATCTAAATGAGGTTTACAAAAGGTTTACAAATTATAAACAATTCAAAACATCCCACCAAACACATGCAAGGAAAAACCAAAATCACCCAATCACAAATTACAATCCTCTTCGCATCAATATTCAACAACATTAGTTGCTCCTTTAGAACAAGAAGCTCCCACTCTTGAAATCTTGATGTCATCGCCATTGTTATCGTCACTTTCATCTTCAAAAACCAATTCAAAAAAAAAAAATCATCAAATTGACAAACAATCATGAATTAAAATGAAATTATAATTTTCTTTAAATTAAATAAATTACCATCGCTAACAAAACAAGCCAACCAATTGTGGGTACAAATTAAAGTTGTGACATTCTTTGACATTAGTTTACTTCTATATTTCATTAAGTTGTGCCCCAATGCTAAATGAAGGCTTAGACGCTACAGTGGTTATGAGAATGTTTAACAAGTCACGCACCATTATTGAGAGATCCGGGAAGTTATTACTATTATCCTTCCACCATTATAATGTATTAAAATTTTCTCAATATGTAAAAGCCAATGCAGGCTCATCCAAATAAACATCAAGTCCAGACCTTCCAACATCAATTGTAAGGTGATGATTGTGCATTTTCAATTCCTAATATATTTGACCAGTGAAAACACATGAAAATTAAAATATAATTAAGTTTAAAAAAAACATGATATAAAGTAATTAAATTATCATGTTAAAATATACATAAACTTACATTAAAGATTTCATCAGACCACCCCTTCTTATCCTTTGACTAGCTTGAAGATTGAGAGCTAACATCACCTTGAACATTGACATTGAAAGAATTAGGGCTGACATACTTCTCAAAGAGCTCGTACAACTTTCTCCTTATATTTTCTATTTTTTTGATTAGATGTACAAGCATCAATCTTTGAATAACAATAAGATAATGTAGAAAACTTCATTCGAGGGTCAAGAACTGCTCCTAATGCAAACACAACACTATACTCATCCCAATATTTATCAAACTTCACCACCATCCTTTCAGCCACACTCTTTACAACTTCATCTTCATCTTCATCATTTATCATATGAATTAGAACACGTTGAATTTTCCAAACATGCAGAAAATACAAGTTCAAAGTAGGATAAGAAGTGCCAGAAATCAAATTGGTTATTTCACAAAATGGCTGCAAGAGCCGACAAAGTTTCTCTCCTCTTTTCCAATTATCAGTTGAAGGACAATCTTTAAACATTTTATCACTCAAGTGGAGAGTTGCAAACATACGTTAATGACTGAGAGCACTATCAATCATCAAATAAGTGGAATTTCACTGGTAGGGACATTTAAATGCAAACCAATTGAAGTGTTAACGCTACCAACTTATTCAATGCATTCTTTAAATTTTTTCATACTTTCTGAACCCTTTACATATTTTACACTCTGATTTTGTGCAAAGCATCACTAGCAACTTTTAACGTTTTGAGATTTTTTCTGGCACGGTTGCCTGCAGGTCGCGATCTTTTCTATAGTTGGTTGGAGTTCAAATGGTCACCGAAACAGTGCTCACTGGAGAAAAACAGATGCAATTTTGATGTTTTGATATGATTTGGGTTGTGGGTTGATTGAGAGCTGGTCGTAGAAGGATAGATCAGAAAAAAATAATTCCAATCGTGGTACTCTCGGTCCAAAAGGTCCCTGGAAAAAATTTTCGGTGGCGCCGAGTGGCAAAAAAAAAGGTTTTCGTTCTAATGACGGCAGTTGCAGAAGCAGAGTCCTCGGAATCGAGAGCTCTGATACGTACAAAGGTTCTCTTATTTAAAGAGACTAAATAACCTAATGAACTAAGCTCAAAGAAGACTTTACACTAAAATAAATAAACAAATACAATTATTTATAACATTTACTTAAAATGAAATTTATCTCTCATTTTGGAACACGGCCAGCAAAAAAAACCTGGTTGGGCTATACATTACTTAATAGGCAACAACACCAAATTGAAAACAGAAAAAATTTGGCAAAAAAAAATTTGTAACACATATGAACAACTTGGCCTTAAGCCCATTTGGCCAGAAGAGACATACAAGCAGCTCCAATGAGAAGAGATAGATTGGCTCCTAATTGAAGCCTACTAAAGATGCGCAGAACCGAACCCATTTTTTTTTTTTTTAAAATGAAACTGGTTCAGTTCGATTTAAAACCGGTTCGGAATCGGTTCCCAAACCGCTTATGAACTGGTTTCAAACCAGTTTCGAACTAGAACCATTTTCGAAGCGGTTCCGAACCACTTCTGAACCGGTTCCGAACCACTTTCAAACCGATTTTGAACCACTTCTGAACCGGTTCCGAACCGATTTTAAGGAAGAATATTTTTTTTCAACTTTATAGAAAATAGGAACAACAATAGCAATATCAATAACCATGACAAAAGCTCACAACTTCTAGCTAATGGGTTTAAAACAAACAATTCACATAATCCAGACACCACTACTACTAGGTAGAAATATAACTAATTAGATTAGTCTAATGATCGTAACACACAAGTTTCTCTCTTTTACTCTCCCTTTCTCTCCCATTATTGTATTTTCTTCTTGGAATTCGTAGCTTCACTTTGAATGTATGTGCAGCTGAATATTTGTTGGCCACCGTCGTTATTAAACGACCCAGATGTTCCACCCAGCAGGATTGAGCTTTCTTGACCACTTCTAATCCTTGCATTGCTAAAATTTTGATAGCCCATCCCATAATTGTTGAAGGAGTTCCTGGTACCATTGGATCTGCAAGTTTACATGCTAAAAGATGTCATCAATCTAAATATTTTAGTAAACATTGATAATATAATCCAAATGGGTTATACATACCTTATATAATAATAACCTAGAATCCCAATAACAATGAGGACAAGAAACATCACTGGCAATACAGGATTCACAAACCTACTATCTTAACAAGAACGAAACAATACTTTTGCACAGTATATCCATGGTTCTTATTAGAAGCTTACAATTTCTGGAGCAAAATCAATTACATGGTTCCCTGCAGTCCATATCCATGGCTGATAAGCAACACTCCTTTCTGTGAACCTTGCCCAAGTATCCCACCTAATGTTATCATGATTTGGGTAGTTGTCAGCATAAGAGAGGTGTCCAACAAGCTGCAGAGTTTGTCCTTTTATTGGGTTCAATTCATAGTGAGAAAGTGTCTTATTTGAATCAAAACTCTGACCAAGATCCCCTGCAAATAATGCTACACTAGTTAGTGACAAACATATTGACCTATTGGAACACAGACAAACATATTGACCTATTGGGTTTTTAGCATAGTAATGACAATCACCACCGGTTTTAAGAAAATTTTACAGTTACTAGCAACGAAAGAGTTCAATTTCTTTTTTATTCCAAAAATATGCATAAATAACTTCATCCCATGAGGGCCATATGAAGACAAATGATGCATTTGATTAATTTAATCATATTCAGGTTTGAAAAATCAATGATCTGCTCAGATGTGTTCCCCCATATAGATCTAGAATCAGCTCAAGAAAAGTGATGTAAAATTGATTCTCCAGAAGCACAAATGTAATTCCAATTATGTTTTACCTAATACATCTACCACTTCTAGTCCAGCACAAGCAAAAGAAGATTGAATAATAGCAAATAGGCAACAACCAGAGTTTATTTTGAGTTCAAAAACTAAAAAACTTTCTGAAAGGAAGCTAAGTTGCAGCATCAGTTTGTGAAGTTTGGTAAAGAGGCATTAGGCTCAGTAGCCTTAGCAGCTGGAGAAGGCTCAACTTTAGGTGATGGTTCAACAGGCTTCCCTAGTAGCTCAGGTGGCAAATCAGGAATACCCTTCAAGTAGAAAGTGTAGAACAACTTGAATGGGAATACGAGTTGCTGACGTTTCACTTGTCCATACACACCTTCAAAGATCCCAGAGCCTCCAGTTACAGCCAGATATGTGTCTTGGTATGTCAGATAAGGTCCTTGAACTGATATGTGACCATAGTCTCTAAAGTAGAAGCTGTAAATGGCCTCATATCTGTCACCCTTTTTCTCTGGTACATGCTGGATGAGAACACATAAGCCTGAAGTTATCCCTAACCTCTTTTCTAAGTTTCCATAGTAGAGCTTGTTGCTGAATGGCACTAAATCTCCAAGAGAGTTGACAGATTTTTGACTTAGCCTAAGGTATGCAGGACTGCCTCGGTCACGTTCATTGATCTCATAGACAAAGAGTTCTTGAACTTTGGCTAGACAAATGAAACAGATAAATGAATGAGGAAAGCTAGCTCTACAAACTATATAGTTAAAAAATGCTATACTCAAGAGGTTACTATATGTACCGTAGGGATCTATAAGCCCACTATGTTCCCTTCAGGGATGAGTCACTATATGGATAATACCCTTAGCACAGGTTCAGACCAAACTAAGAGGTACTTTGCCCAGTATAAGCAAGCAATCAACAATGGATAAGTAAGCGATAATATGACTCAAAGTAAATGGGGCTATTTATAAGGGAGGGTGGTGTGCACCTGGTGTGGGTTGGTGAGAAGGGAGTCAACCCTCCTTGGGATTCACTATCGGTGGCAGTGTTGGGCGTGGCAGGTGCTGTTGTTGTAGCAGCGCTGCGCCCTCTGTACCTGGTGGTGTCAGCGTGGGGCAAAGGGGACAGTTTCCCCTTATGGCATCTTAGACGATCGCCTTTGGGGGTTATGGTCCCAAGGTAGGACATTTTGGTGCTTCCTCTTGGGAGAGTCGCCCTGTTGGGAGTTGGGGTATCATCCCCGCTGGTAGGGCTGACGTGGATGTTGGGTTAAGGTTGGACCCTGACTTTTGGGCTACACAGTTATTGGGCCATCCGGAACAGGAGCCCCCCCAGCTTAGTAGCGAGCGTAGGTTGGTGCCAAGGTAGATAGGCCCTGACGACGCCTTGTTTGGCGATATGAAATTTACTGGGCGCAGGGAGGGTTCCTCTTGACGACCGTAGTGAGTTCTTGGAGCTTGGCGTGGCCTTCTTGGCGACCCGAGCGGTTGCCTGGGCAGGGTTTCTCTTGCACATCCAAGTGAGTACTCTCAAAGTCTAGCGTTCCCTTCTGGGCGATCCAAGTGGTCGGCTAGGGTCTCTTTGGAAAAGGCTGCCATTCTGACAGGCATAATGGCTTTCCGATTTTCGAGGAGTAGTAATGATGGGTATTTCCATCATTGCTACTATTTGTAGGTACTCAAACGTCACGAGGCACGGCGCATTAATGCGATGTGAGGGGTGACTTGTCCCCTTACAATTACCATTTGACCCTTCATCACAACCGCTTGTTGTATGACGGTTGTGCCATCTAACGGTTGAGTGATGTGGTCCTTATACATGTACGTCATCCTGTTCCTTTTCTTCCTATTTAAAGAGGGGGGAAACACCTCCTTGGGGACCTCCTTCACGCGACCCAGACTCTTCACTGCTTCAGCCTGTTTCCCTTCCTTGTGAGTGTGCTAGTGCCAGTCTTTTTTTCCTTCTTCTCTGCATTACCCAGGTATAGTGTTTCTGGCTTCCTCCTTTGTCATTTCTTTGGTTCTGCTTCCCTTCTTCCTTTTTCTTGCGATGGTCAAGTTCATAGAACCCATTCCTGGTCTAATACTGCCTGAGTTGGAAGTAGAAATTAAGGAGGAAAAGTTTGACGAAGCCTTTGATGTTGTGGATGACAGTGTCGTGGGGCTAGCCATGCGGGAGTATCTTGCGAGTCGTGCCCCAAATCGCTCTCTAATTCCTGGGTTTGAGAAATTACCCCATAGAAAAATACCCGAACTTCTGGGTTTTAGCGAGGAGGACATTCAAAATCTCCTACCAGAAAGGGCTTTGAGACCAGTCCTTCCGTATTCCGGTGAGGCGTCTAGTTCTCGTCCTCATGGTGGACGCGGTGAGGCGATTGGAGAGAGACACTCTAGATCTGGTAGGCGTCTGTCTGTAGGATCTAGGAGACGACGGTCAGGAGGATCAGTTGAGAGGACTGGGCCCCGCTTGCCCCGAAGGAGTCATTCTAGGCCTTCAGGTCATTTTAGTGATCTGGAGGCCGCTTCTCGCCGCCGTGTTTCGCGGCGCTCCGAACTTGGACCTGGGCGACTTATTCGGCCCCTATCCAACATTAATCGCCAGCCGCAAAACCGTCCCTTAGAATACTATTATAAGCCTCGCCCTTCTTTGGTTGCCCTTTGTACAACTCATGGCCACATTCCCCCCATCCCTCAGTCTTTCCATCGCCGTAAGTAGGAACAACAAGCTGACAATTGTATTCAAAGCAAACACACCATCGGGCATCAAAACGAGCCCTGTGTCCAAGCAATTGTCGTTGAAACTAAGCAATCGAATGGAATTTATAGCTATGCATCATCAAAAGCAAGCTTTATCCTTGATCCACTTGTTCATACGAACAAATGTGGTTCGGTAAAGTTTCTTTTGGTTACAAAACTTTCTAAAAAAATCAAGTTTAAGACTTCATAGAAAGAAAGAAAAAAATCCCACTTTTATTTTGTGACTTATGTTTCACCCTAATTGATTCATTTGCATCCAATGAAAAGGAACAACCAATACTTCAGCATTCCCAATATAAATCAACCAATACTTCAGCATTCCTAACACCGCCCTAATGTTCATACTAAACACAATAATCACATTTTAATTTTATTACATTGAAGTTTTGAGCAATACAATGATTTTTATTGCTGTTCAACAAAGATGTTTAAGCCGAGCTGAAAGGAAAAGCAATTTATACTTGCAGATTCTTTAGGCAGTTTTATTTCCAACAGGAAGAAGTTAATACAGAATCGTGGAAATTATGTAAAGACTAGATGATCATGTTGGGTTTTGCTCTTTCACTAAAGCCCAATAGGGTCTAGAGTGTAAGAAGAGCCCAAAAAACCTAAAGCTCATTCTGCTTAGGGCTCGGGTTTCTTGGAACCCATATATATTCCACTCTTATAGTCATCAGCCTATCAAGTCTTCGCTTGGTGGTTGCAGAGGGTGAGGTAAGGTCATCTCCCTGAAAGTGAGAGAGTGCCCACACACTTCCCGTTTTCCCTTGAGACATAGTCTGGAAGATCTGCCACAATCCAGCTTCAAGGAGGTTGTTCGTTCTGCGACACTGAGGTGAGCAGTTCGTGAAGAGGAATCATACAAGGGAAGATTCTACGCGAGATCTGCGCACCAAGAGGTAATCGTGAAACGAGGATGATTCGGTAAGCATACCAATGTACTAGGTCCTAAACCACTTCTGCATAAATCCAATAGTTCCTACAATTGGTATCAGAGCCTTGGCTGTACATTGGTATGTGAATTTAGTTTCACTATTCGTGTAATTAGTTTGTCTTCGTAAAATATGGCACCTAGGATTCTATATTTGTTATTCAAATATTTGCATGAGTATTCTTTTCATTAAAAATCTATTCTTTATATGGTTTTGGCTTTAATCCATGGTAGAAATTTTCTTGTATTTTCTTGGGTTATAACAAGGAGGCTAAGGTTTCCTCCTTGATGTTTTTATTTACTTTTTGGAATTTCTGTGTATTTTTTCAAATTTTGTAAAAGTTAAAGTTCGAGAAACCGCGAGGAAGATGCGCAGTCAGCACTGTCAGAGACTTTTTGAGGACTTCCCGATCTCATAATAGGGAGATCTATATATGGTTGGAAAGAGGACGGAAAGAAGAACGCAACGGTGGGTGAATCGCCGCCACTGGAGTCTCAACGCGTCTCCACGCGCCGCCACAAATGGTTGAGAGTGGCCGCCACTCTCCGGCAAAGAATGAGAGAGTGAGGGAGCGTCTGACCACCTTTTTGGGTGGTTCTGGCGGCGGTGCACTCGTGTCTTCAAGGGAGTCATTCCCCTGGAGTTTCGTGCTGAGATGAGTTCGGGTGACAGCGCAATGGACGTGACGGCTAGGGTTCCTGTATGTTGACTTAGGGTTTCTCGCCAAAAGTTGGTATTTTAAGCCTTTGGGCCCATGGCTACCATAAAGAGGCTTGAAACAGAACCTATGGACTCTAAGGAAAAGGAGCAATCAGCCGCACAAAGTTTCCTATTTAATTACTCTGTAATTTTATTTTTTTAGGAAACCATGGATTAAGGTCTTTATTATGATTAATTGCCTTAATTGTATGATTTATATGATTGATAACATGCTTTATTGCGATAACATGCCATATAGAATAGGTGGTGTCATATTGTTGCATAACTTGTATGATTACATGAAGTAGCTATTATGTCTTCAGCGACTAGTATGATAGTTACTATGAGATTATTTTGATTTTAAATTATCCTAAAAAAATTAATTAATGATTATTATGATTTTTGTTAAAAATCTAGATTAATAATTGAATTAATTAATTTTGGATAATTAACATCAAGACAAATAATCGTTATGGAAATTATTTTGATTTCAAATTATCCTCATAAATGATAATTATTATGATTGTTGCAATCTAGATTAATAATTAAATCAGCTATTTGGATGATTTAAAATCTAGAAAAATAATTAAGAAAATTTCCTAAGAGAATAATTTATTTTGCGAGTATTTTGTGAGTCTACTAAAATGGTCATGTGTTAAACACACGCTGCATACCACAATCATGTATCGTGATTGTGTGAAGCACATGCTGCCTATCATGATTGGATTTTAGGACCTTAAGGATTTTAAAATTCAGATAAGCTAAGTGATGCACGTTCATCGGTGCTCTTGCTTACATAGTTTCTGAAATCAATCAAAGGATACTTTCAATTAAATAATTCTTGAAAATTGAAAAAATTGCTTATGTTGAATGGAAGGAGATTTAAATTAAGAAATTAATTTAACCTTTAAGCGCATTATAGGACCATTAATAAAATAATCATGTGAAATCTCATCGAAAAAACATGATTGGATTTTACTAGATTGGACCTAAATAATTAAGGGAGGAGATTTAAATTAAGAAATTAATTTAACCTCCAGGTGCATTGTGGGTCTATCAATAAAATATTCATGTGAGGCCCCAACGGATAAGCATGATTGGATTTTATTGGGCCTTAATAATTTTAAAATTTTAATAAAGTATTGTACGGCCCAACGTCGTCAATACTAAGTTATTAAAGATAGTTTTGAAATTAAACAATAAATTCAACTAAACTTATAAAATTCTCAAAATAAAAATATTGAATGTGTGAAGGTTTAAAATTAATTAATTAATTTTAAAACTTGCGGGCTCTATTTGTGGGTCCATTAATAAAATGGTCATGTGAAGCCCCAACGGAAAAGCATGACTGGATTTTATTTGATTGGACATTAATAATTTCAAAAATTTAGTAAAGTATTGTACGACCCATCGTCGACAATGCTTAGATATTAAAGATAATTTTGAAATTAAACAATGGTTAACTACATTTAACTTTGGTAAAGTTATTAACCCTCCCAACGAGGCTCTGGTAATGGCACCGAAGGCTCAAATAACAATTTTAGTTTTTACAAGTGACTTGCCCAACGTAAGCCTTGTAAAGATAAACTAAAGGATTGTTAACAGTAAACAAGAGTAGTTATGAGAATCTACTTGTACTTCGTTTGTTTATTACATTATTTGTTTGTAATTGTGTGCTTTATATGTTTTTCAGAAAATATCTTAGAAATGATTTTGAGTCAAAAACCTCTGGATGGTACCAACTAAGTGAAAAATAATTTTTAATATTGTTCTAAAACATGAAAGCTAAAATTTGTCCTGA